TTCATTCACCTTTTGAATTAGGTAATGATTTAAAAGAATTTTTTTTAATGATTGATTCTCACATAGTGGAACATCTAATAAAATGAAAATATTGAATTTCATTAAATAGCTAAAAAAAATTCTTTTAAATCATTACCTAATTCAAAAGGTGAATGAAGATTTTGTTCATCATTTGTGTCCATATCAAATGTATAAAATTGCTAAATAAATATTTTTTTATAATAAAACTAAGTTGTTTTTTTTTTCTTTTAGTCTTACTGATTTTAAGTTACGATCATTTTTAGTTTTAGCCATCGGTGATGAAATATCTAATAAAACATAATGATTAAATAATGAATATATAAAAGGTGTTTTTTTCTTCTACCTAGCGTGAATGCGTACTTGTCATTATAGTGATTCTGAAAAAAAAAAGTTGTATAAAGTTTGTTTTTTTATATTATTATAATTAAAAGTTTACATACACCATTTGACGACTCAATATCCATTATTTTCATCGTTGTTGATGCGTTTCGAATACCATTTTGACTACTCACACAAACATCATTGATAATGGGCGACTTAACAAAATAAAGTTAAATGTATATATATATATATTTATGTATGTTCACTCTTTCGTAAAATTGTTTCTCATTGAAGAAGAAAAGAGAAAAAAAGAGCAATTGTACTGTGTAGAATTTTTCTCTTCTTCTTCTTCTTCTTTTCCTTCTTTATTCATTATATGTCTGTATATATTCTTACCGTATGAAATGGTGGTGATGGGGAGTCACTTCGAGTGGTGCTCACAAGCGATGAAGGTGTGTTGAAGTCGGATGAGGTAGGGAGAAAACGTTGATGTGATAGAAGCCGTTTAGAATTATTATTACTTGGAGAAGCTGAAGTAGGAGTAGCCAATTGATAGTGATCGGTGTTCTGAGACATTGAAAGAAATCAATGTTTTATAATCATCTAGAAGAAAAAAATATATATATATATCGAGTGTGATCATTATCTTTCTCTCGTACAAACGATCGTGTCTAATAGATTTGTTTCTACATTGGTACTTGTGTCCGACATCATTACACTTCGTACATGACTATGTTAAGTTATAACCTCTCTCTCTCTGTCTCTGTGTATGTATAGAACGCCATCGATCTTAACAGAGTTATAAATAGGTCATCTCTTTCTTTGTTTATCGTAATATAATAATTCGTTTCTTTTTTTTTCTTCTCTTCTTTCTTAAGTAAAAGAATATGAATGTATTCTTTTCTCAATCACATGTTAATTCTCATCTAAAAATAATATCAATAAAATTCACGTAAAATTTTCTATTAATGATATGTATTCAATTTTTATTTCTAATTATTTGTCTTTTCTGTTCTTCTACTTTCAACTAGGTCTTTTACCTATACTCTCATGCAACTGTGAGAATAGAAGAAAAAAAGAAAGAAAAAGAAATGACTACTCATTATTTCTCAATTTATATGTAAACTTAACTATGTACTCTCAAACAAGCAAAACATAAAATAAAGAAACTGATTAGATTTTTTATTTCCAAAAGATTTTTTAGACAAAAAAAGAAGAGAACAAAAATTTTGAATAACAACAAAAAGAAATACGAATGAACTTGTAGTTTATCTTCACATACATATTTGAGAACTGATAACAAAAGAAGAAGAAGAAGAAGAGAAAAGAATACACACGCACATACATATGTCAATCATAATAATAACAAAAATTTTCTTGCTCTTTGGTTTTCTTTATGAAAAGATTGTTCTTAGATAGATATCTATATATATATGTTTAAAAATTCTTATCTTAATTTTAATAGAACCTATTGAGTTCAAAAGAACAAAAAAAACAACAAATTTTTATATACAAGAAAATATCCAAATTGATTTAATCAAGTACAACGATATCATCATCAACATACGAAACAAAATTTGTATTAAGTTTTTTCCATGGTGCACGTGCAACACGACGAATTTCTTTTTGAGGAATTTCCTTTCGTAAACGTCTAAAAAAGATAATTTTTGTTTAGTACATCTATATAAGATCAATAAACAAATCTTACTTGATATCTTTTGTAACACGTAAGTAAATACCATCAGGAGCTAATTGAAAATAATAATAATAATAAAATTTTTGTATAAAATTATGCGAACTTACGATCAATAAATGGCACAGTATAAGCACGCGATCGAGATGATTTAACAGTACCCTAAAGAAAAAGAAAATATAATTTTTTTAATGAACTTTTCTTTGTATCGATAAATGGTTTCATTCACCTTGTGGTAAATTCTTCCATTTAATATAATATTAGGTTAAATAACTGATAAATGATACTTCTAGAGAGTCAAGAAAAACTAATATAACCTTGATGATGTTTGTCATCTCATTATCTTCAATCGTTTGTCTTTATTGTTTCTATTCTATTTACATTTTCATTTCTCATTTGTTTAGATTACAATTTCGACAAGGTTAAAATATTATGAGAATGAACAAAGATTTTTTTACCGGAGATTTCGTTTTGATTAAATTTTGTCGACTTATTAATGTTCGTTTTGGTGATGGTCCTTCATTGGAATTTTCACTTGATTCATATGGTCGTTTTTTCATAATACTCATACTATTATGAGTAAATTGTGAATAAAATTCACTTGAATCTTCTTGTAATTTTGGATATCGTAATGGTAAATTAATTTCATTTTCAGTAAATGTTCTTTCTTCATATTTTGGTAAATAATCATCAAATACTTTTGTATCACTATTTTCATATTCCATTGGATATACATTACTTAAATGAACTTTTTTATAACGTTCCTTTCCTTTTCCATATAAATTACGAAGATGTGCGCATGTATAACGAATATCTTCCGTAGGTTTTTCATTGATATGTTTTTCCCATTGTGTACGTATATCATTTATATCAATACTATATGCTAGGCAATGTGCAAGACGTCGCATTGGACATAATGGACGAGCAGCACGTGTTAATGGTGTTGTAAATAATGCAAATGTATTACGTGGTTTTGACAATGGACGTGGACTACCAGATCGAAACATTATTCCATGACCAAGAGCATAATGACGTTGAAGAGCAGATTTATTTTTACAGTCCTAAATAAAAAAAAACATTGTTTTTTCTATGTATTCTTTAATAATATATCAAAGAGATTTAACAGGACTATAAATAAAACAATATATATTTATAACATACCTTTCCACAACCGGTAACAGTACATTTGTAACTAACTAATTTATTAATGTTAGCAGCTCGTTCTAAAATAAATATTACAATTCCAATTAATATATATATTTAAATCGTACATACCTTGTCGTCGATCAGGACCTACAAATTATATAGAAACAAAATATTATTTTTGCAGAAGTTTTTAATTCAAGATCTTACCACTCTTTTTTGGATATTTCAAACCACCTGATTTCTTATAGTAACTCCAACATTCTGAACAAAGTCGAGTATGTGGTTGAGCTGTATTCCATTGATACCATTGAGCAGATGAAGTATCTTTTGAAAAAAAAAAAGAAATTAATCCTAATCATAAATTTTATATGCAACATACTTCCACATGATTCACATGGTTTATTTTCAGCTTGTGGTCGTTGTGGTAATAAACATTGATGAGCTTTATTACTAGAAAAAACAAAAGAATCTTTTAAAAAATATAAATAATCATTTTAATACGAACTAGTTTGGTATGAAAACTTGTTTAAGTTTATTTTCTTGTTCAGCTAATTTTAAACGTCGTTGAGCAACATAACGATCGGTTGTTTTCCACATATAATAATATTCAATAATACCTTTTAAACTTTTCCATTGTAACTAAAATATAGAAACAGTTTTGAACCATATATACATATATATTGAATTTATTACATATTCTTTTTGTATATCAATAAAATCTTTTCCACATTTTTCAATAGCATCTTCAAATGAATTTGCTTCAGCAGCTGACCAATCTTCCATTTGATCTTTAACAAGTATTGGTCCTGTATTTGGTACCAGACTACATGTTGCTAATGCTAAATCATAATGATGTTTATGTAATATATCCATAGCAAAAAACTAAATAAAAAACAAAGATTTTGTTATATATATATATGAAATAAATTCAAATTATTTTACTAAAGTTGCATCACGTGAAGCTGATGCGGCACTCATATGAAGACTTGGATGTTTTAAAGCTGTTGGACAATCAAGTGCACGAGCAAATGTACCAATAGATCTATTTCATATACATTTAAATAAATATATAGATAATAAATAATCAAGAATTAATACCGAGCAATAATTAAAAATTGTTCAATTTGTTTTTCGGTTAAACCACCATTTGCATTCCAAATAAGATCTTCTCTTGATTGAGGATTTTCTTCAATATAATTATATACATATATATAAATTTAAAAAAATTAATTTTTTTAATACCTTCTACATTTCCATCAGTATATAAAAGTTGTGTTGGTACATCAGCTTGATATTTTCCTCCAACACGAATTTCACCTCGATCAGCATTTAATGATTTTTGATTTGGATCATAAACAAGTTGATAGAAAAATATATCCTAATAATCATAAGAATTTTTTTCTTTCGTTATTCAAATAAAATCTGATAGTCTATTAACATACATCCGCATTAAGATAAGATAAAAATGATTCGGTTTCATTGTGAAGTGTAACTAAACATTTTCCACGTATATTCGTTGCTAATAATGTTTCAATTTGACGTGTTAAAAATAATTCTCGATGACGTAATTGATGTTTTTGTATATCATCAAATTCTGTTGGTTGTGTTGATGAATTATTTCCGGATGTATTTTGAATACTTCCATTTGTATCTGTAGATATTTCATCATCATCGTCCCATGGACCTAAGAATAAATATAATTTAGTTTCTTATATTTTTTCTTTCGTATTTAGAAAAATTTACCATCGAGTTTAAGTCGATCAACTTGATTAACAAGATAAGCAGATATATCACGACGACGATAAAAACAAGCAACACGAGCTTCAACATTTCCATTTGGCGTCTAAATACAAAAACAGGATGTCAAATTAACAAATTTTTTTCAGTTGACTAAAGATTAATATCTCTTCCGTTATATTCTCATTTACTAATGAATCTATGTCGAAAAAATAATTTACTCTTAGTCACGAATACAACTAAGTGTAATTAGTAATCTTCTTTCAATCTATGATGTATTAGGAAATTTGAATATTTTTTCCGATAAGCAAATTTTTGATAAAAAATGACATTGACAATGAATATATTAAGAAACGACTAAAGTCAGAAAAATATTTCTTTCTTTTCTTCTATACGATAAAGGAATGATGTTATTGCGTTTTAAACGAAGTTCCCCCGATACGCCAATAAAATATATTAATATAATTAAATTACTCAATTGATCGTATTCATTTAGTTAATATATTTTATATAGTAATCATAAACAAACCTTATTTAATTCTTCAATTCGTCGAATCAGATAAGGTTCACTTGGATTGCCTTCAAAATAGACGTAATCTAAATAAATCAAACAGAATAAAAAGTTTAATGAAATTTAATTATTTGTTATATTCAACTTACCACCAACACGGTACATACACGAAGCCATTATATTATATATATTTATATATTTTTTTAAAATAATTCGTTCATAATTTTATTCTAAAATAAAAACAAAAAGAAACTGAAGATTTAATGTTCATGAACATACAATTTTTTTTT